AACCCACCATTGGCTTTGCACAGACTCCTTGGGCGCTCCTGCGAGCCTCTCTGTCTGTCTCTCGCTGTCACCCTCTCGCTCAGTTGCTCTTGTCCTTCTAGGTTTTGTTGTTGGTGGCGCTGGGGGTAGGTCATTGGGTCATAAAGCTGTCAGGTTACTGATGGAAATGGGGCTGAAAGGCGGCTTGTCTGAGGAGAGGGGGGAAGGGTGCTGCCCAGGGGGACTGCTGTGCAGGAAGGCAGAGACGTCTAGGATGCTGCCAGATAGCTTTAGGAGGTAGCCAGGGTTTTATTCCTCCTTCTCCCCCCCCCCCCAACAGGGGAAGTGCTGCTCTCCTTTCTGAACCCAAATTCTCTTCCTCTGAACCCTGGTTTTAATTCTCTATGGGAGATAAGGCGCTCCCCCCTCCCCAACTTGCAGGTAGTTCCCCCCTTTTCCTTCTCTCCAGTGAGGGGTCACTTCGGGAGGGGGGGAGGATGAGAGGCTTTCTGTTTTTCTTTTTTTCTCTTTTTCTGGGCTGTGGGAGTAAGTCTCTGTTTCTGGAAACGGGCGGATGGGTGGTTATTTCTGTTAGAAAACTTCCTGGTTGGTTTATGTGAAGCTGGATCTTTTGTTGTTGCCCTGTTTCCAGAGGTTTGTGTTTGTCTGCACATCTCCAGTGGCCTTCAGGCTCCCCCCACCCCCAGGACCTGGCACTTTCTCATTTTCATGTTTGTTTGTGTCCTTTTCAGTTTTCTGTTGCTCCATGAAAAGGGGAGAACCAAACAAAAGAGGCTCTTTCATTGCTTTTCACTGCCTGCAAAATAGCAAGGATCTGACAAAGGGGAAGGAGGGCTGGTGGTTTTAAAGTGGCACAACTCGATTTTGCTTGCTTCTCAGACTAAACCCAGCTTGCTCCTCTGTAAAACTTTAAATAGAGCCTGTGGTTCTGCCCAGCTGCCCCCCAGCATTTGGCCACGTATGGGGTTGGAACCCACTAAGCTAAGCACCATCACTCTCTCATTATTCCTTCTTCACACGATCTCCATTTTCTTGTGGCTAGTATCACTCGAAGTGTAAAGATGTGGGCGCTCCTCGCTGGCAAGGTTTTAGTTTGGCAGTGCCAGTGTACCTTCTGTGGGGTGTGGGAGGAGGGTATCTTTCTCCATCTTTAAATGAAAGTCAAAGCCAGCTCTGGTTTGTGCAGAATTGCTGGACTGTGAGACAGACTTCATGCACTCTGTAATGGTGCCTTTCCCTTCTGCCTGCAAATGGTTTAGCTCTGGGCAGTCTTCTAAGTTCTAATTAACATTCCTCGAGACTTCTGGGTCTGTCCCTCTAGCAGGGATTGAGGCATCTCTTTATTTAGCAGTGGCATCCACCAGAACTGAACCTCTTTCTGGTTTGGCTGGCATTGCCAAGGGCTTTTTTTTTTTGCCTCTGCTTGACTCCACTTGCAGGGGATGAGGAATGACAGGAGTGCATGTAGGGAGGGTTTCTTGGCTGATTACATTTAAGCTAGGAATTCACTGTGAAAATAAAGCCAAGGGGCGATAAATAAAAGATGCAATCTTCTCCAGGAGACAGACACCCAGCATGGGCTTTGCTTTGCTTGCTTTCAGCATGTAGAAGAGGCCTCATTGAGAACTCAGTGAAAGGAGGAAAAAATAACTTGTGTAGCCTTGGAAAGGGGAGGGGCGCTGGATGATGCTGGCAAAGGTCAATCTGAACAGGGGAAAATATGCATAAATATATCTCGTGTCCACGGCAGCTTCTGGAACACTTTAATAAATGTGCAGTGAATGCTGCACACTACAAGTACACTTTTGTTTCTTTCTTACATGAAATGTTGAAATCTCGCCGGGTTACTAATGTATGGAAACTTGGTATTTCACAGCACTGTTTAAATGTGAGTGTCTATGGGGTGTGGTGAGGGATGAGCAAAGCAGATGCTGAAATTTTCCAAATCACAAATACTTTCCTACAGCAAACACTAAGATTTGTTAAGGTTCATTAAGGCTTTGTATGGAACAGAAACTATAAATGAATAGCCTGTTTCAAATCCATAGGACATCTGCCTATTTTCATTTTGTTACTTGATTTTTTCTGTGAGCAAATTTTAGTTATCTGGTCTTATAAACTGGTGGTATAAGTAAGTATTAGGAATTTATGGTTTGTCCTCACTTTTGGTGTTGTGTTGTGAGTTGCATTGAAGCAGAGTGGCTGAAAAGCAGAGTAGAAATAGGTTTGTGTAGTAATGCACATGCAAAAAGAACATCATTTATATTGAAAGTCAGCCTTCTTTAATGCTCATGCTCGGTATTTGTAGTGTGTTTTTTCCCCACATAGTATAGCATGAGTTGTGCAGCATGACATTAACAAAAGTTAGCATTATAGCACAGATATTGGGAAGGTGACATCTTTAATCCTAGGCCAACAATTTTTTTGTTGAAATGGTGATGTACATATGCCAGTTTTGAGCTGTACATTAGAATGACAATTGCAAAATTGACATACTGTATATGAGATGCTTGTCTTAATATGTGTGCCTTTTAAGTATTTATACTGAATCTGTTTTACTTTTTAAAACCGGTACATTAAGGTTTCCCTGTCAGACTGTGTCATCAAAACCATAGGTCAGACAAACTTGTCTGAGTGTGTTCATCTTATTTCTGAAAGCTGAAGAATTATATGTAGCACTCAGAAGATAAGTCTTATTTAATACATTAATTTCAGATTCCATCTACAGACTTCAGATATGTTGATGAAGCTGTGTCAAATAGGGCAAAGCTATAATTCCAGGGTCATTCTAAACTTTGGGCAGGCCAAAGTTTTAAACGATAACTGTGCAAACAGTATAAAACTTAGCTGTTTGGCTACGTTCATATAAGGCACAAAGGGCAGTGTCTGCATCAGGATGCATTTCTCTTGTAACTGTCAGTGGGTATCGTACATTTAGGAAGGTGATAACGAGAAATTGCACTATAGTTTTTTTTTATTTAAGCACTTATTTCAGGATGCTAGAACTTTAGTAAATATGATTTAGCTGTGGTACTGCAGCAAGTTTGTAATAGCCCTAAACCTCTGTGGTATTTGTGTAAAAAAACTTCTTAGCCCATTTTGTATAACAGGGAATGTAGATTCCTTTTTATAAGGTCTAGCAAGTGTGAAATGTGGTCAGTGATTACCAGTGAAGCAAGTGGGTGTTTCTTTTTGCTGATGTTCCCCACAGGTAAGGATCAGCAAATGATTTAATGAATCAGTCTTTGGTCAGGATTTAATCAGACCTCTCATAGGCTCTGATGGAGTTTTGAGCCCCTTTTTTGCCTGTTCTGGTTTGCAGAGTTTGATTTTTCTATCAAATGTCAAATAACATTTCTGTTTTAGTATTTATGGGCGGTTTATTTCTATCATTTTAGGCTTGCTGTATTGCAGGTGGACAACCTATCGTCCCAAACTGCTTAGAAGCATTACAACATTGTTTGTTGTTGGGGAAATTACTATTGCCTTTGTTCCTTGGCATGTGTTTATGGTGGGGGTGGGTTTCTTGCACCTCTAGGCCCCTGGGTTGAGCCTTGGCCACACCAGCCTAGTTCCATCTGCCCAGCTGTGACCGTTGTGTCATAACTGGTTTTGATAAGCCTTGCAATCTTTTGAAAATCTTTCAAGCTTGTAAGGCAGAGTAATGTGTGTAGCTGTTACCACCAGGGTAGTAGTTAAATGACAGGTTCTGTTGTAGGATTTCCTAGGTCTCCTGCCTCTTGGCACCACTGACTGCTCTACCATGGCTCGAAATGCCAACCTCTGCCTTGAAAACCTTAAAAGCAGCTAAACGTTGCTGTTCAGAGGAGACAAAATTGTGCTTTCTAGCTAAGCTAAGACAATAATTCTGCTTCCAGCCAAGCTTCATAATATCACCTTCTTTTAAGTTCTGGGAGGTTCATGAATGGTATTTTGTTTCCGCTTTCATAAGCAAACATATTGCTGTCAGTTTCTAAAAGTTTTTATTTTTGGCTGTGATATTAAGCAAGCTGAGTTGTGGGGTGGGGGGGTGGCCTTCCAGCTCACACAAGAATCTCTGGTGGGATGTACAGAAGCTTGTGGCTGTCTGTTACAGTTGGGATCTCTAGG